GAAGGTTTCGATTGTTCTCGTATGTACTACTCCATTCCAGTGGAACTCGTTTCTTCTCGAATCTTCGAATGAATCATTACGGTGTCTATTCTTTAATGCGATGTTAAGGTCATCCGAGGGCGGGCTATATAGTTAGGTTAGGTCGAGTCCTCACCGGTCCGCAACAATATTATGTTAACTTACTTATATGAAAATATTGCATGAAAATTTAATATATTCTCTAAGAAGTACGCAATGAACAATTATTGCATTAAATAAAAACAGCATTTTTATATGTATTTCTTCCAATTGGGTTTCCTATGTAACATCTCTAAGTTGGGATCATTCGAATATGGTTTTGATATGAATTAGTGATAGTATTGTTTCTAAAGTCTTAATTTCTAGATTTTTAAATTTACAAGTACGTTCACAACCTGAGAACATGACTCTATTTGCTTTAGAAATAACCTGTGAGAAATAACTCACCTGTATTAAATATGCAGTGTGCTATTGAAATAGTGGAGTAAAACCACTGTGTTGACGCAAAGCTGCAAAAAGATTTCATGTTCAAAAAAAACCGCTTAGAAGACGAGCGCAAAATAAAAATAAATATTACAACAGGGTAGTGACCTTGTTTTTTTTTAGTTTTCCGGTATTTTGAAACTTAAATTAAAGTTCTCGAAATACGCTTTTTAAGTTGACTTCCTGGCCTGGATACCCAAGATCTTTTAAAGTCAATGTCTTGATTGAAAATGAATCATTTTTTTTGAGACAGTTATTCAAAAAATTTGAACAATTTTATTATCTCCAAAGTCTCAGGTCGAAAAAGAAAATATTTTCAAAAAAAGCGAAGAAGAGATGAAGAAATCTGAGATACAGCACCAGATATTGCAATTCTTTACAAACTTATTTACTTAATCTTTTTATATCTCAATCAAAATCTTATCTTTTAGTACTGCCATAATTTCTTAGGACCTGCAAAACTAAAATGGTATAATAAAATATAGTATGCCATCATACCTGAAGGTCTAAATAGGTATTTAGGTATGATGGTATACTAAGGTAAACAAGATAAATCTTGTTTTTTTACTGGTCGCTTTTATAACTAGTATTTTTAATGTCACTACCAAAAAATGGTAGAGTTAGGTTCTATAACTGTGTATTTTTGTAAGTGTGTGTGTGTAAGTTTCTATATATGTACAGGGTGTCCCAGAAATAAGTGCAAGTATTTGAAGAGGTGGTAGATCTCGCAAGTCCAAAATAACGGAATTTTACTTTGAAAATTTCTAAAAAAATGATTTTTGCTCAAATTTTGAGAACCACTGGATCTTTTCTGGATTTTCTTTCTTTGTAAATTTAATCTACTACCAATGTTGCCATATTATAAAAAAATATGTTTTTTAATTAAAAACTAAAAAAAATCCAAAATTCCGAATTTTCAAATTTTTTTTTCGCGAAAAAAACTCATAACCGTATTTCTGGGGTTGAACTATACTACCAGTTGAAATACTTGCACTTATTTCTGGGACACCTTTTACAAGGTGTTTCAGAAATAAGTGGAAGTATTTTAAGGGATGCAGGATCTGTACAGGGTGGCTCGAATTAAACGCTCATCATTGGGATTTTGGAAACCGTAAGAGATACAGGATCGGTTAAATGGAGGCAAAGTTGCGCAATTTGATGCTCAATAAAATGCCGTATTGCATTTTGAAAAATTCCGAATACTTCCGAATATATTCGAAAAAAAAACGAAATTTTCAATTTTGTTTTCTATTGTTTCCTGGCTTTATTTGTTAAGATAACTTAAAATGAGAAACACATTTTCATGGCCACTTTTTCTGCTCTATAACTCTGTGTGATTAAATATTGACTCTGACGTTTCGGCTTCTGGCGACCATCATCAACTTAATTTTTTTAAATACGGACCTAATTTTTTTTTTCAATTTAATTAAATCCTTTCATCACTCTTAAAACAAACACTATATATAGTCACTTGGATATTTGTCGACGTTTCGTACAGAAAATTCCATCACCAGAATATTTTATGCAAAAAAATGCAATACGGCATTTTATTGAGCATCAAATTGCGCAACTTTGCCTCTATTGAACCGATCCTATATCTCTTACCTAATTCTTATCTCTTTCCGAAATCCCAATGATGAGCGTCGAATTCGAGCCACCCTGTACATCTGGCCAAAAGAAATCGAATTATTTAACTTTGAAAATTAAAAAAAATAAAACATTTTGAGAGCCGCCGACAGCAATCAGTAATTAATCAGCCGAAAATACCAAACAATTACCAGAATCTCAGTTTGTTCTATGCCCAGTGTTAACACATCGACTAGAAAGGTTAAAGAACAACTTATCGCTTTATCTAAAACCGCAACTCTACGCTTAAAACTTCATTTCAGTGTGAATTTTGACAGCACTACACTTATACGTGTATTTGGCACAAAATACATTCATATGCCCCCCATCTGAATTATTTAGGATTCTTTTTTGACAATTTAAACTCCTCTGTTTTTCTACCTCACACTCTTGTTTTTGTGACCTCACACTCTTGTTTTTGTGAATAAACACCAAAATAATTGATATTTCTATTTGAATAATAAAATTATTATTACAAGCTTACCTTACATTTGTCTTTTTTTTTAGTTTTATCAGAGGTTTACTGTTTGGGTAAAATCTTAAATGAATTGGATAGCCTAAAAATTCTATCAGCTGATCTATTTAAATGTAGGTCAAGCGTTGACTATTTACATTAGTAGTGGGAACTATCGAATGAATACTATGGAAACATTCGATAGTTGCAATTCATTCGAATAATTCGATAGCTGGTAAGAAAACATTCGTTGAAAACTATTCGAATAAAAATTATCGAATAGATGCGTCATCTGCCTTGAAATATTGTATTCTAGTAATGCGGCAGCAAAAACCATTCATTTATAAAATTCATTCATTTATGAAATTCATTTATTCGTCAGGATCGATTATAATAAAATATTAACTGGATTTTAGTTGTCGCCCGGCGACGTAGGTTTCTTTCCGAGAAACCCGACAGCGGTCGGTGGCAATGCTATGAAAGAAGCGGCATCTTTGATTTTTTGCGGAGTCATATAAAGATAAGGACATTATTATTTTTTATTGAGGTGCTAGTATTTACACAGAAAATACATTATGAAGGGCGCTGTTGCCATATATTGGTATTAGTTGATATTAGCAAAGAATATTATTGTTTGGCTTTAGTTAGTTAGGGATAGTATGTCTATATATTTTGCATTTTTTTTTAATAATATTCTGTTGTTACACTGCAATAATACTTGTTATTTTGGATGTAGGAAAATGATTTTTAAAGTTTTTAAGCAAAGACTGGTTTAATAAAAATAATAATAACAGTAATAATTTGTTATACCTATTAACAACAAAAATTAAAATAATTTAATATAAACATTTTTTTTACGTAGTAGCAAAATATAAACAACAAATTAGATGTCAAAATTATTTATATTAGATCCTATTTAAAAATAATATAGTCTTTAAATTTTTTGGCAACGTTGGTTTATTAAATAATAATAATTACAGAACTAATTTGTTATATTAACAACAAACTTTAAAATCATGAAATATAAATATTTATTAATTTTCTAAGCATGCAGTGTAATGGAAGGAAAATATAAATAAAAAATTAGAAATCAAAATTATTTATATTAGGTACTTTATATTACTTTTAACAATAATATTTACTTTTACTGGCATTTTACTTTAAAAATAAATGAAATATTTCTTTGCAAAAAACTACATGTAAGAGAATTAGCATAAACAAAATACAAACATCGTTAACTTTTTTTTAAATTGGCACGTGTAAAACTTTCAATTTAATGTTCTCACCCCATAGTTTGAGTTCGATAACCACACATTTACTTAACCACATTACTTAAATATGATTATTAAGTTCAACTAATTCATATTATTAAAACATCTAAAATACAAATATGTATTTTTAAAATTAATTCTAAGTTCATCTCATCTCTCTTAAAAATTGCTACTTTTAAAAATTTCCCATTAAAAAATAGACCATATACCATATATAATAAAATAATTGAAAGATCGGGCTACGGAAAATCACACAAATTTTCGGAAAAATTTTGACACCTGCACACACAATCGTCAATTAAAAAAACCACTATTTTAGTATTTTAAATATTTTAATAAACGCAAAAATAGCACAGTATTTATAAGGCGAAGTTATAAAAATTTGTAAGAACTAATAATGCACTGACGCACACAAAAATCAAACGAATACTAAATTTCATTTATCAAAAGCATTCGATAGTCGTGGCTCAACGATAACCATTTAGTCGCACGGCGAGGTTGTCACATATGCTTTAGTATACAAATGAATGAATGATTTTATTCGAATAAAACCATTCGATAGTTGAAATCATTCATTCAATAACCATTCGATAGTCTAATTCATTCGATAGTTCCCATCGCTAATTTACATACCGAATAGAGGGCGCTGATTCTGAAATTCAGTTTATTAAACTGCAAAAAAGATATTTAAAACATAGTAGACGTTGAGTTATAATTAATAGTAATCTACAATGATTTGAAAATCTAGAGTTAATAAAATTAATTTAAGTATTTTTTTGTAGAAATTTAAAAAAGTGAACTTATAATTTATAAACATACAGAATGTGGATTATGGTTATATTTAGGGGGTGGTAACATTGCATTCTCTCGAAGCACTATAAACAAATTTCCGGAAATTCAACAAGCGGCACTCAAAAGTTTTTCAATATTTTCGCGAAAATGTGAAGAAAAATATAAAATTTTCAACATTTTCGCAAAAAATCTCATGGACGTGATTCTGCGGTCGAACTATTCTACCAGTTAAAATACTTGCACTTATTTCTGGAACTTCCTGTATAACCGTTTTTAGATTATCACCCGTTCAAAAAATATATACCTTTACAGCCGGTTCTCCCCTACGGTTATAAATAAATATGTTTTTTTTATAGAATTTGCCAAACAAGGATTTTCCAAAGATATTTGCCGCAGCATGATAGCGATGGTGGACTTTGACATGTCCGGAAAGCTAGGATTAGACGAATTTCAGGTGTTATGGACGTCGTTATGGGCTTGGAAGGTTTGTACAAAGAACAGTTAGCCCGTGGTTACATTGGATGCGAGTCCGTGCGTTGAATACCAGGTTTAATTTTATTTGGGATATATTAACATGTTGATGGAGACATTCTAAAATATTCAAGAAATATGACTGGTTGCTGTCTTAATTCCTCAAATGTTTTACATATCCATTTTCTTCTCCTCTTCTTGCATATAAATCATTTACCCAACATTTTCTTCTTTTCATAAGTAGTTATTTTAACGTTATATCCTCAGACAGCATCAAAGTAGAGGCGTCCGTTTGACAAACTCGACACACAGGACACCATCAACGCGCATCGAATGTAACCACTAAAATAGAATAGTCGTGCGAGTAAATTCCGTCAGAGCTCTTACGTTTAAAAAACGCACGGACCCGCGTCCAATGCAACCATATACGTATTATTTATATAATATGCTCAGGGTTCCCTATTTAATATACTCAGGGTTCCCTATTTAACCCCGTGTGCAATTTCTGTGCCGTAAGAAAAAGACAACATAACCCAGCTCCATATTAAAACTGCATAAGTCTATTTCACCCGGATATGGATTGAACTGCGATTGCGCCAAACTCCGATTGATTGTTGTTTTAGTTCTGTTTGGATTATTTTTTATTTGTGCGCGTAAAAGAGTGATTTTGTTTAGTTTATTGTTTCCAACTATTTTTTGATATTTTTCCAACTCCATGATAATGTGTTATAAATAATAAAAATATAAATAAAATTGAAGGTTAGGTGAAATGTCAGTCAACCACTTCCCTTTAAAAACATCGACCAATGAAAACTTCTTCAGGTGAGGCATGCTCAGTTAAATGAATATCCGGGTGAAATAGACTTATGCAGAATTCCATATTGTTCTTTCACTGTTCGGGCTTCACTTTTTGGAGATTAGGCTGAGTATATTTGTAAAAAGTAATACGTATATGAATGCAACCGCGGGCTTAACCTTAACAAAATAAAAAAATTGGCGCCAGGAGGCACGTATAGCCCCATACTAAAATATGTTAATATCTCGAAAACTGCGACTTTGACTGATTTTGATGTTATTACAAATTTTGTTGCAAATATTATTCCTAATCTTAATTTGAAAACCGCGTTTCGCCAGCTACTGTAATTTTGGAGTTACGATTTTTTAAAATTTTTAACCCCCTCCCATGCCCCCTTTACTAACCCCCCACCCCCACCAAAAACTAATGCCCAGATTCTCGGGTGCCACAGTATTTTTGTGCCAAATTTGGTTAAAATCGGTTCAGCGGTTTTTGAGTTATCGTGTTACAGATTGACAGACGGACAGACAGACAGACAGACACCATGAAAATTATTTGTATTTAGGTCATTTATGACCCAAGTAACTCATTTTGAGTGAAATTAAAAAAACTTTTTTTTGCAGATCCTAATAGCCTACCATACCTATTGGTATGGTCGGCTAAAAAGACATATCACCATAAGCCCGCGGTTACATTGGACGCGGGTTCATGCGTTTTTTTAAACGCGCGAGCTCTGACGGAATTTACTCGCACGACTATTTTATTTTAGTGGTTACATTAGATGCGCGTTCATGGTGTCCTTTGTGTCGAGTTTGTCAAAACGAACGCCACTACTTTGATGCTGTCTGAGGATTTAATTTTAAAAAACTACTTATGAACAGAAGAAAATGTTGGGTAAATGATTTATATGCAAGAAAGGGGGAAGAAAATGAATATCTAAAATATTTGGTGAATTAAAACAGCAACCAGTAATTTTTTTTGAATATTTTAGAATGTTTCCAGCAACATTAATTATATCCTAAATAAAAATAAACCTGGTATGCAAAAATATTCAAATTTTTAAGGAATGTATTGGGCCCAGAGATATAAAAATTCGAACGCTCGGACGTGCACGTAGTAAAAAAACAAACCAGTTTGTTTTCACCCGGCCAACGGAAATTGACGTACGTGCACAGACACGCAAACTCCAATGCAATGTGACCGCCTGCGTAGATACAATTTTTTGTTTTTTGCTGCGTGAACATCCGAGCACGCAAGACCAAAAAAATGCACGGACACGCATCCAATGTAACCACGGGCTAATACACCAAAACACTTTTACTTTTACACTGGATACGCTAACCATGTTAGCATAATTAGCTGATGATTAAAACTTAACTAGTATCTACAGATTCAGCGTTTATACAGGGTGGTCCGAACTGTATTCCGGAAATTTCGGCAGCATATTCTGCAGATAAAAATAAGTAAAAAAGTTTATATAAATGTATGTCCTAAAATGCTTAGTTTCAGAGATACAGGGTGTAGAAGTTTAATTTTTATTTCGATTTTTTCCAAATAATTTCTGAAGTAACGTCAATATTTGGATGAAAATTTGTGTCTGGTAGCTTTTTGACATGATAAATTTGATTTTCATGTCAATATGACTTCTACTTGTAGAGGGCGCCACCTACATATTTTTTAACTGGTTTGAAGAGTAATAACTTTTCGTCCATACCTGTATAAAATTACTGAGTAAAAAATATACATTTACGACTTTTTTTACGTAAAAAAGGTTTCTTGGTAAAAATCGCTACGAGTAATGGTTCTCGGGATATTTGGAATCGAAATTATCAATACCTGTCATCATTGACATAAATTAAACACGTTGAGACTAAATAGTTATTAGACGAAAATCATAAATTTGAAATGTTTTTGTGTTAAATGCGCAACAGAAACTGTTTAATTATCATTTTTTCGCAGAAAAATTTATGATTAATTTAGAAAAATAAAAATGTATTATTTCAGTCAAATCACTATACTCAACGTGTGTTTATTTTTTGTCAATAATGACATGTATTGACTATTTCCATTCTAAATATCTTGAGAACGGTTTCTCGTAGAGCTTTTTACCATGAGACATTTTTTACGTAGAAAGTCATGGAAATATATATTTTGTCACTCGGTAGTTTCATACAGGTACGGACGAAAAGTTATTACTCTTCAAAACAGTCAAAACACATGTAGGTGGCACCCCCTACAAATAGGAGTCATATTGACTTCAAAATTATATTTCTCGTGTCACAAAACTCCCAGACTTCCAATTTTTCATCCAAATATTGACGTTACTTCAGAAATTATTTTGGAAAAATACGTCTCCAAACCATACGTATTGGGAAAACATGGAATAGGAAACGTAAATAGCAATGGTGAACGCTTGCTACCAACATGCACAGAGTACAACCTTTGCATCACAAATACATGGTTCAAGATGAAAGACAAGTTTAAAGGTACCTGGAAACATCCCAGATCAGGCCACTGGCATCAATTGGACCACGTCATCGTTCGAAGGAAGCATCTGAAAGATGTCAGACTTACAAAAGCCAGAATAGATGCCGAATGTGGTACTGACCACCGTCTTCCACACTGCAAAAAGCAAAACAACATGACCAGATTAAACGTACGGAGTCTAACGAACAAAGACACCGCCAACGCCCTCCGGGAAGCCATCAGAGAACAGCACTTCCACCGATAACCTCAATCTCCTAAGCTGAACAAGGCTGGATACAATTAAGGGATGCGATTTATAATATCAGCGAGGAAAATCCAATAAAAAGAAACAACCAGACTGGTTTAACGAAAATGAACCACATATACAGGCTTTGTTGGAACAAAAGCATAGAGCACATCAAGCAGTCACTGCAAATCCACATAATCCAAGGCTGGTGGACAACTTTCAAACAGCCAACAACACGCTTCGAAGAGAACTGCGCCAAGTAAAGGATAACTGGTGGTCACAAAAAGCAAATCAGATTCAAGAGTACGGCGCGCATCACGACTATCGTAAATTCTTCGAGGCTGTAAAAGAAGTATACGGCCCAACTAAGAACGTAAGCTGTCCAATCAAGGCACAAAACGGTGAACTTCTAAAAGAGGAAGAGCAAATCAGAAATCGCTGGAAAGAGCATTACAGCCATATCATTAACCAAGACAATATCCCCAATATGCCAGCACTAAACACAATACCTCAGTATAACAGCATTGATGTATTAGATATCCCAATAACGGAACAGGAAATAAAGGCCTCCATAAAACAACTTAAAAACAACAAATCGGCTGGCTGTGACGCGATTCCAGCGGAAATCTATAAGTGTGAAGCAAAGAACTTATTGGTCATCTTAAGGCTCTCTTCGATGTCATATGGGAAAGGGGAGAGGTACCTCAGGACTTTCGCAACGCGAATATAGTAAATATATTTAAGAACAAAGGAAGTGCATCAGATTGCGGAAACTATCGAGGAATTTCACTACTGGTTATCGGAGGTAAAGTTCTCGCAAAAATTATGTCAAACCGCCTTCACCCACATATAGAAAAAATCTTCCCAGAATCGCAAACGGGCTTTCGCACCAACCGCGGTACCGTTGATTCCATATTCTCCGTCCGCCAACTCCAGGAAAAAGTAAAGGAACAGCAGAGTAAACTTTATGTTGCATTCATCGACCTAACGAAAGCCTTCGACTCTGTAAACAGAGATGCACTTTGGGCAATTATGCAAAAGTTCGGAGTGCCCAACAAATTTCTTGGTGTGTGTAAAAGCCTCCATAACAACAACAAGTCGAGAGTGTCACATCATGGATCACTGAGCTATCCCTTCCTGACAAATACAGGAGTTAGGCAGGGATGTGTCCTAGCTCCTCTCCTATTCAACATATTCATGGCAGCGCTCTCTATTATAGTGGATAGCAAACTGCAGGAAAGAGGAATGAGTGTTAGATACAGGTATGACGGCGGTCTGTTCAACATAAAAAGACTCAGGGCAAAAACACGAATCAAATTCATCACAGAACTTCAATACGCTGATGACTGCGCTCTAGTTGCAAATACGTTACAGCAATTACAGGAAATGCTGAATACATATACCTGGACATACGAGACTTTGGGCCTTAAACTGAACATCGATAAAACAAAAATAATGTGCACTCCCCCGGAAAATCATAACAGCGCTATAAAAATCGGAGAAGAAGTATTGGAATATGTATCGGAATTTAATTACCTCGGCAGTTTGATTTCGGAAAAGGCAAATATCGACTCTGAAATTCAGCACAGAATCAGCGCCTCAAGAGCATTCTGGAAATTAAAAGACAGGGTTTTCTACAATCATGACTTGAGCACAAAAACAAAACTTGCAGTCTATCGAGCAGTAATAATCCCCACCATGTTATATGGAAGCGAAACCTGGGTGCCGTACCGCCGGCACACGAGTGCATTAAACAAGTTGCAACAGAGACACCTTAGACAACTTTTAAGAATCAAATGGTACCACCATGTCTCAAACGTATCAGTCCTTAAAAAAGCAAGCTGCGAGAGCGCTGAAGTCATGATTACTAAATCTCGCTTAAGATGGGCTGGCCACGTATGCAGGATGCAAGATAACCGCCTACCGAAATCTCTTCTTTACGGTGAACTTGTATAGGGTAAGAGGAAACCGGGTGGACAACTCAAAAGATACAAGGATGCTGTTCATGAAAACTTAAAGGGGATAAGTATGCAGCATCAGTGGGAGGAAGCAGCGCACAATAGAACGCAATGGAGGAGAATTGTAAATTCAGTTAATCACGACAACCAAAAAGTAAAGAGGCAACAAAGTAATGAGATTTTTGAATGTCCGGAGTGCGGAAGAGAGATAATATCACGTATCGGGCTTTTCAGTCACAGAAAAGCTCATGACAGGAAACGCCCTGCGTAACCATCTTTTGATGCGTGTCAAATACTCGTTAGCGAGTAATGGCAGTAGTAGTAGTAGTATTTTGGAAAAAATCGAAATAAAAATGCAAATTCTACACCCTGTATCTCCGAGGCTAAGCGTTTTAGGACATACATTTATACGAACTTTTTTACTTATTTTTATCTGTAGAATATGCTGCCGACGTTTCCGGAATATAGTTCGGACCACCCTGTATATACTCGCTCAGTAGCTCCAAGTAGGCGTGGCGAAAAAATAGCCAAGCGTGTCAAAATCAACCGAGCGTAATAAAAAAACCGAGCAATTTTATATTTAAATATAATTAATTATATATTTAAAATAGTCAAATTGGGCATTTAACCCTTAATTTGAATCATTCAAATATTCATTAAAAGAAATTAATCAACCAGTTGTTTGCGCGAATACCCTGTATATAAATATGAAATGTTGCAGAAAGCTTGGCAAATATTCGACCCGAACCATGTAGGAACCATAAGCGGGTTCGAGTTCGGAGAGGCCATCTCTGCTGCAGGATACGACGTCAGCAATAGAGTGATGAATGCACTGATGCATCGCTACGGCAACAAGAATAGACATATACAGTTCGACGACTTCCTAATGAGTGCCATGAAAATCAAAACGATGATAGGTTAGTCTTGCTTTGTCTTATTCTTCTCCAAAAAATTCTATATGGGTATTTCGCCACTGTAAGAAAATCTACAAAATAAAATAGTTTTTTTTTGTAAACACTGCTGCGTTAATCCAACGGAAACTACTTGTCAGTAGTTAGGTTTACAGATAAACACGTTTGCCTAACGAACAAAACCATGCTTAACGTTTCGGAAAGTTTATATTTTTCATTTTATTGATTTTATAGAAAGCACTGTCATTAAAATGTTGTTTCCTATGTTATAGGGCTTTTTTCTCTCTACAATTTCCTGTCTTACAATGAATGTACCGTTTGTGTCGGGGAAGGGATCATAGTTTCATAGTTGTCGATTTTCGAAAGAAATCAGTACACGTATATTATTTCGTATATTTTCCATTTTATTGATTTTATGGAAAACACTGTTCATTAAAATGTATCCTAGTTATAGGGCTTATTTCCCTCTACAATTTCCTGTCCCACAATGTACCGTTTGTGTCGGGGAAGGGATCATAGTTTCATAGTTGCCGATTTTTGAAAGAAATCAGTACATGTATATTATTTCGTATATTTTCCATTTCATACATTTCCACTTACATATACAGACCGAACCACCGTAGTAGTAACATAGGCAGAACTGGACGAATTAAGGTGTACGCGCACTGAATCGGTACCAGTCCGGCGAGAAACGGCGAAGGCGGTGACTCGACTATCGTAGATAGGTAGAGGTAGGAATCTGGCCTCTACAGGCCGAAATGTTTTAGTGGACGCCGGCGCCGTCATATGTACGATGGTCGCAGTCGCTTTTGCTGGTCGGTCCGATCCGATGCAGTGCGCGCCCTCCTTTAGCGTATACCCGTCCGCCGGATAAAAAGCATGCGAAAAAATGCGATAAAATAAAAATAGGTAGATATGTGATAAGAATGTTTCGGAATTTGTATTTATTCGTGTTTTAATAGCCAAAACGAATACCTAGATTCTCGCGACAGTTCTCGTGTAAAATTTATTTTTTAAGTAAAATAATAGATGTTTACGAAGTTCGTGAGAAAATTCAAATTGTAAAATGGTATTTCCAAAATAGGTCTTATCGGAATATACAAACAATTTTTCCAGAAACTTTTGTAAACAGGCCAATTCCATCTTTACCTACTGTATCAAGAGTTATTAATAATTTTGAAACACATGGGTGCGTGTTCCCACAAAAACACAAAAAGCCTGATGTGTTGATTAATGAAGAACAGGAGTTAAAGCAAGTATTCATTTGTGCTACCGCGGATCAAAATCCCACGTTTTCAAGTAATCAAATTGCTGAGGTGGTTGTCCTGCCCACAATGCCCATATTGTTCAAGAATATTTGAACAATACTTTTCCCAACCGTTTAATTAGTGGACATGGAACTATTTTGTGGCCCGCTAGATCACCAGATCTTTCTCCCAATGGCTTATTTTTGTGGGGTTATGTAAAATCCAAAGTGTATGGTCATAATAGGGCTAATAATCTGGATGAGCTTCAAGTAAAAATACGAGAGGCTTTCCAAACTATTAGCCCTAATATGTCAGCCAATGTCAGACGGGGATTTTACGACCGCCTAGGCTTCTGTCTAGCACAAGAAGATGGTCTTTTTGAACACTTGTTATAACTTTTTCTTATTTAGAGTAATATTTTAGTTTCTTTTGGATTTAGAGAATTTATTTATTTTTAGTTTTGGCTTGTGAACACACTCAAATAATAAATATTTAAGTATTTTCATTTTAAATGTTACCTTAAGTGAAGGTAAACACACTTAAAATGAAAATAATAAATACTCGGCACTCCTCGCGTCGTATTTCTAGTCTGTCACGACCGACCCGTCCAAGCACAACTGCAACTGCGTACTGCCTGACCAGACCAGCCGACTAGCCGGCAGTGAATCTCGAGTAGGTACGAACGCAAAACGGGTAAACGTAAATTCGTCCGGCACATTGCTATGTTACTAGTAGCCTGGTGTTCTCTGTATAAATCTTACCAAAGTACACTTTCCTTATCAAAATGCTGATCAGAGACCCTGCTCTCGAATCAATTATTTAACTGTCATGTAAAATATAACGCAGGTTTACACCGAACGCAGTAAATTTTGTTCGATGATATATACTTACTTGTGGTGCTTCTTGGATGAAGTGGGAGAATCATAATATGTTTGCTGGTATTGTGTATTGGCAGGACGCCTTCTAAAAATATATTTCACTTATTCTTTTTGGTGGATTTTTTATGTTGTTTTGATGATTGAAATGGAAAATACTAATCTTTTGAACGGAAGTATCAATGGACTTTATTAGGATCGTGGGGTACTCTTACTAATCGCGGGTAATTTTTACTAAAAATTGACCTCATAAATATTTTCATAAATCAAAACTACACTATTTAAAAATGACCTCAGTAATTCCACAGTAGTATTTTAGATGTTGAATTTAATGGCCCTATGTCCAGAATCTAATATTTTTGAACTTTTTACAATTATTTGTAATGTTGTATTTTTCAGATATTTTCGAAGATTATGAGGACGAGAAAACACAAACAGCCGCCTTTTCTATCCAAGAATGGTTGGAGAAAACCCTGTATAATTAAGAACACCGTCTTTTCTTTGGGATTACGATCTCGCCGTCTTCTATATCATTGCACGAAGCGATATACACTATACAATTTTTATATTTATTAAGCGAGAGATATGTTCTATTAAATCATTAACTCATTTTAAAATATTGTCGAGATATTTATTTATTGTATAAATGACGATATTGCATAAAACAGATATGTTAGAGTGGTCGCAACTAAAGAAGAAGCCAGGAGCGTCATCAATGACGCAACCCTGTATAGCGACACCGCCCCTTGCTTGCGACACAGTTTAAAGAATATATACCAGTTGGCCAAAACGCTGGCCGTATGAGGGATCAACTAAAAATACTAAGGAATTTTAATATAGCAAGTAGAAAAATAAAAACACAGTACTAGTTTTATTGATTAAAACAATTTTAGGCGTCTTTAATAATTGATCAATATTTATTTACTTTCTTCTTATTCTCTCTGTCTCTCTCTGTCTTTATTCCTACAAGAGGAATGTAGTGGTTAGGCAGTGGTGTTTTTCTTCTTATTATTTAATAACATATCTCATTGTTTACAAATATAAATACAATATGAATTGAAATGTGAAATAAAAAACGGATTTTAGTTAAGTACATGATCTTATAATAGCAATACTAATTTATTCATGTTAATTTTACAACAAAATAATTTACATATTTTACCATCAATGTTAATACATGAGGATTATAAATTCTTATTATACGTATATTCAGGTGAAATGGTGAAATATTACAAATAAAAATATAGATAATACAGATTACAATTTTATTTCAGGAGATAGTATTTGTAAAGTTTCTTATACATTTTTCTTAAGCTAAATAAACTTAAAAAAAATATAAGTTAAAAATAAAGTAGGTTTTAACAAAAATAACATTCCCTAGACTTAAATGTATCTTTAACACAAAAGAAGGTAACACATAATAAGTAGGAATACATAATCATAATTACAAATTTTTGAGAATACTAAGCTTCATATTATTTTTATTTAATTTTACCGTTTTAATATCTATATTTATAAATATAAAATTATATAAGAATTCTTGCCATTTCACTGCTCATATAGAAATTTAATTTCACACTGTGTTTGTCATAATGTGGATCAACCTGCTCTCATTACCGGTTTCGGAGCCCTACTCCATCATCAGGTGAGCTTGGGTCGATTCCACAAAATGACGAACACCGCGCAGAGTACCTAATTCCGACTTGGCCGGCGTGAGTCGGAATTAGGTACATTATGAGAAATACAGTATTGAATTCAATTTCTATATCAGCAGTTAAATGGCAAGAATTCTTATATAATTTTATTATTTACTTTCTTTATTTATACTTTCACAACCATCTACTGTACACATATTTCTACTACACATATTTCTAGCAGACATTTTATTCACAATTTGAGCAAAACAACTAAAACACTATTTTTGGTTCACCCTATGCGTGTCGGGCCAAAAACAAAACTAAAATAAAGTTGGGGCGCTGTGTACCCGTGGAGCAACGGATGTAGACTGACCCAAGTCTACAAGACAGGCGGGGAGCGGCGGAATGGATTTTGATACGGGCGAAGAGTAAGCCAACTGGTATATATTCTTTAAACTGTGCTTGCGATTTGACGATTCGGTGATGCATGAGCGCGAGCTTAGATATTTTTATTCTAACTTATCAAATAATATTTCGAATTATTTTGCACGGCACTGTCTAACGCCGAGGAGGCCTTCATAGGCAAAATATTGATGACGCTCCTGGCTCCATCTTTAGTTGCGACCACTCTATTTATAGAATAATATTCGACTAAAATGACCAGATTTTTAGTCAACCAATGGACTAAAGGACGAAGGTGGGGAGGTAAAATAAATAACGGACACATTTTGCATGTATAATAGTTCTGACGTAGTATTGTTCGTTGAAGAAATAAGAAGATACGCAACCTTATGGGCGATTTGGTGGTACAAAACCTGTCAGAGATTGAGCTGGCGTTACCGTCAGGCTGTTCGAGATTTAGTTTAGCTCTGCGCCGCTGCGCGTTTATAGTCGTTTACAGCGCAGCGGATAAAGAATACTGTAGGGGAGAATGCCCAACAGTGAGACACATTTTTTTAAGACCGTAAAAAATATTTTATTTTTTCATCAAAATAAACTATTTTAGTATACTTTAAAGGCAAACACTCTTTCCTAAACATGTTTAATTAACTACTCCCATTGAGACAAAAACATGTCTTAAAATTAACAATATTGTTATTATTGCATTTGTCTCATTGTTGGGCCCTAAGGTCTAACAGTAAGACAGTGTATGTCCAACAGTAAGACAAAGGAAGTTTTAAACAAATAACTATTTATTAATTACTTAAAATAGTTAAGAGTATTTATTTGCGTTTGGCATAAAACAAAGTAGAGCTGTCTTAAACAAAGAACTTAAAATATAAACGCAAGTGCTAAAATAATTAACTTAGTCTAACGAAATAAAAAAGAGTTTCATAAATTTTTGTTGTTAATGTAACTTCGACTTAAAATAAAGAAAAACTCTGTTATATAACAAATTCATAAACCAAATATTATATGTGTTAATCTGACATAAAATAACAACGCTAAAATGTTAATATTTAACATTGGACAAATGTCCGTCAGGGTAGATTGTGACAAAGCATTCATCTGTAGAAGATGAATCTAAAATTGGTTCTTCTCCAGAGGTATCGGAATCAATAAACACTTGTTTCTTCACTCTCTCCACTTTGAATTGTGTTTTCTTTGGTTCATATTTAACTTAGCTAAGTATTTTTCTTATATTGCATTTGCCTATAATATTTTTTTTAAATATTAATAACAATAATACTATCAATAACATGATAGACATGTTCAACAGTGCCAACGAGCGCCCAAAAGGTTATGTCCAGTCCCTATGTCCCAGTATTACACAGAGTCGTAAAGTCATAGCACAACGGGTGCACTGTCTGTGGGACACTGTCTCACTGTTGGGCAATATATTTTGTCTCACTGCCAGACATAACTATTTGTCTCACTGCCTAACACCAGTCGGCCATTTTGTAATTTATTTTATTCTAAAACTACTTCAACAAAAAAACTTAAACGTATATTCTAAAACACCATTCTAAACTTACATCTCCATTAATGGATTCATTAAAATAACTAAATGTTGGGCTAACAGACCAAAGAAAACGCACATGTTAAAAATTATTTTTTGCTTCACAAATTTTATTGCGTGCAGTTGACATATATCTCCCATCACTGCAGGTTTCATATTTGATACAAAATAGTTGGTATGTAGGTAGTGTTTTACTCTCGAAAAGGGAATTGGATTCGACGCCTTTTAAATGAAGGGGATTAAATGTCTCACTGTTGGACCTGTCTCACTGTTGGGCATTCTCCCCTACCATAGTTCTGCTTTCAGTCGACACAGAAGTTGAGTGGTTGCCGAAGATAGTATTGTAAGAACTACTGATTAATCCGTATATTTACGGATTTTTGGTACAGTACGTTAATAATACGGATTTTCTATCATTAAACAATTTAATATAACGATTAAACAAAAAACAGCTTCAGAGTTGGCATGAAAATAAAGATTGCTGTTATTTCACATATAAAATATTATGGTAAATGTCAACAATCGTCATTTCCAAGCCATCTAAACGAATTTATTCGATTATACGACATATTCAGTACCTATAAAAGAATTTTTATTTTTGTTATTTATTCTATCTGTTTGATACGAATAAATTTTCAATACCTAAACGCGGATTTTTTTATCAAAAAATATTTTCGTCGAACTTATTACATTGAATATTAAACATTTTGATATGGCAACACTGTCATTTTCAGTTCCACACCGTCTCCGATATGCTTTCGCTAGCCGAACTAGAGAAAATAAGTGTTTTATGCGTTGCCCGCAGAACGATTGATGTCTCCACCGTACAGCACTTGAGACGTAAAGGGAAATCAAATCAGCCTTGTCACGATTTCCCTCATTAGGTTGCGTATCTTCCCAATTCTTTCAATTAAAGGTAGTATGTAATTTTTGCATAAAAATGTCTGAATGAGCTTCAGAAAATATTTGTTTGGACCAAACTTAATTCAGTTAAAAAAAAATAAAACCTTAAACGTGATGTCATAACATGCCTTAAAGCATACCTGTTATATGTGTATCGTGGGCAAATCTGTCTATTGTGATATATGAATAATACACTGTGATGCTTTCTATTTTTTAAATTCAATCGTTTTATATTAAATATTTTCGTATTTATACATTTGCATAGAGTACAAATTGACATTAAATAATAGTAAAATGTGCCATTATTAATTGTAAAAATATGATTTTTTTTGAATTTTTGAAATTTTGAGCTCTCTAACTTATTCCATTTTATTATAGAGCATAAATATACAGTTCATACTAAATAAACTTCGCGTGATTAAGCTTGGCCGGCACAGCGTTGCCCATTTGTATATATTTTCTTTTAATCAAAATATTTTAGGAAACAAAAATAAATTAATTATAAATATATAAACAGTTATTATTTATATCAACTAAACTCACCTTCTTAACAGCACTTAAGGGACATAGAGGCCATTATTACCGCTTTCCCGTTTAAAATATACTGATAAAGTTGCGATGAGCTTTTCACGGCTATTAAGCTATCTTGTACACTTCGCACTAAAAAAGGTTCTAAAAAGAACAATGTTCCACTGCAAAGTTTGCTAGTAAACATTTTTAAGCTTAACCCTCAACTGGCGTGGTGAATTTTTGTAACGCTTATGGCGTGCTGGGGTCCAGGGCCGGCGGAAGGCAAATATTGAGACCGGGCGAGTACCCAATCTGGCGCCCCCCCCTCCCAGTAGTTATTATAATTCTCTTGTTCTTTCCATACTGTCCTTTAACTACAACTAAGCATATTTATGCTACTTTTAGAATACATTTTCACTTAAAGATACTTCAAAATTCTTCTCTTCTTTCAATCTTAGTCTGCGGTTTTTGTTTTTTGTATACCGGGTGCGTCTCGAAATTTACTTTATTTATTTATTGCTATAATATACTAATATACTATAGAGTTATGAGAAATAGAATTCCAACTTCGGCAGTCTCGTTCTGGTATAAGTGATCTTTGAAAATA